GTGATCCAGTGAGAAGGTTTCCTATTGGGTACTGTTATCGTTGGACAATGGGATGGTAAGGCATGGAGAAACGAATGACTTTCGAACTGTGTAGCTAGTTTTAGAATGATCTACTGCAATGTTTCTCTACCTTTCTTTTTAGTCGAGGCACCCCATTCTAAAATGTAAAAAAACTGAACTTTCACATAACGCAGCAACATCCACAAACATAGGACAACCAATGCTAGAGGCGATTTATTCCAGAGCAAACACATAATTGCATCCTGGTACTGACTAGTATTGCATTGTTTCTCTCACTCATTCTGCCAATGCGACCCCAGTGCTGACGGAGAGGAGCAAACAAGGATGCTGTGCAGGCGCCCAACGATCTCCTTACCAACCAATGACATCAGTGGTTGTTAGGATGCCGGCGGCTGGAAGGTTGTAATGGTGCACAATGAAAACCTGTGGCTTTTTGTAACTAAAAGGCAGGCTTGATCCACCTGCTGTTATGTACACAATGTTTAGGAATTTTACCAAGGCAGCTTTGAAGAAACCTGAAGGCACCCCGGGGTGTCTGGGCACCCTGATTGAAAAAGGCTGATTTACTGTGCTAGTCAAGTCAAGTGGTAGAGTTGCTCACATTCTGGTCCAGGGAACATGTAGCTGAATGCGTACACCGTACAATCAGTGAGGTCATCACTATGAATATGGCATGGGCCAACTCAAATATTGGCCTGATTTTCAGAGCCGGACAAAACTTTGCAGCCCCAGTCCTGAGCAGAAAGGAGCAGGAACAGGGACTGTCCTATACTAGACACCGTGTTCTACACAAATATCCCACAGGGGTTCTTAATTGCTTGAAGTTGCCTTTTTTGGTCCGAAATAATGTTTGATGAATATTGTGCTTTCATTTTGTCTCCTAGGCCTCACATTAGTGTTCAGGTTCTAAAGAAAAGAACAGGAAGACTAGAAAGAAAATTAGATGATTTGGTGATCGAGTTTTGTCATGCAGCTGCCAGAACGAATCTTCAGATTATGTGATAACAGACACATACTTACTCATATTAAGGTGTAGCGTAGTGTCCCTTGGTGCATTTTGCTTTAAAATAAACGTGTATGGAGATGACATCCATTTTTCCTTTTCTGTTGATGGAAGACACCCTCCATTGCCTGCAGACTGCAGTGGGCAACTCTAAAATGATTCTGTCACTAGAGATGTGCACAATGTAAAAAATGTGTTTCGTTTCATTGTAGCTCCGTTTATTAAATAATTTTGTTTCGTCATCGTTATGTTAGAATGATCCATTTTCGGAATGATTCATTATTTTGGGAGAGTATATATTTGTTGTTCCAAATTGATTTGTATTTTCCAAGTTCTGTTATTCTTTTATTTTGGAAGATTGACTGTGTTGCTCTCATCCGAATGAAACGGATGAATCCAAATTAATATATTAATATTATGTTCATTTGTTATGTTAAGCTGAATTCATCATTTCCCCATTCTCAACTGACTTTGTTGGGCCACGCACATACAAAATAAACAAATGGTCTCTCAAGTTCAACCCTAATAGAAAGAATCTTATTGGAATATTCACGCTACGCTCACTGCAATAGAAATGAATGGATCCGAATCAATTTGGATCATTCTTTATGTTGTTACGTTACTTCGGATGCTTCAAACATTAACCGCTTCCCGCCCGCCCTATAGCAGAACTACTGCTACAGGGCGGCAGTGCTGCTCAAAATCACGTGTATATATATATATATATATATATTTTAATGTGATTTTGCATTTCCGGGTAGGGGGCACTTGAGCTGCCCTACCCAAGCCACCATTGGCGGCTACAGCTGTCAATCACCGGGTCCCAGACGGACATTCCCCACCGTCACCTGGCGATCGCCGCATATCACTGACAGGGGAGAGGTCTGTATGTAAACAATGCAGATCTCTCCCCTTTCAGCAGCAGTATGCTGCTTTGTATTTCTCTGCACATCAGAACAATACAAAGCAGCTTGCCTACATAGTAAAACAGCACACCGCACATAATGTGAAGCACACAGTTAACCCTTTGATCGCCCTAGATGTTAATTCCTTCCTGCCCAGTGTCATTAGTACAGTGCCAGTGCTTTTTACTAGCACTGATCACTGTATTAGTGTCACTGGGGATGTCAGTGGCAGTTAGTGAGTCGCCCCCCCCCCCCCCCCCCTCCCAGTGTCAGAATGCAATCCTGCTCTAAGTTGCTGATCGCCACCATTACTAATATAAAAACAAAAAGAAAAAAATCCAGTATATATAGCGCCATTTGTTGACTTATAACTTTCTCGTAAACCATATAATTTACATGTATTGGGATTTTGTTTTAGCAAAGACATGTAGCAGAATACTTTTTTGTCTACATTTATGATGAAATTAGATTTTTTAAATTTTTTTATTGGATATGTTTTATAGCAAAAAGTAAAAAAAATTTTTGACGGTCTTTTTTGTTTATAGCGCAAAAAATAAAAACGCACAGGCAATCAAATACCACCGAAAGAAAGCTCCATTTTTGGGGAAAAAAGGACATAAATTTCATGCAGCGTTGCATGACCATGCAATTGTCAGTTAAAGTTACACAGTGCCGTATTGCAAAAAATTGCCTGGTCAGGAAGGGGAGGGGAATCCTCTGGAGGGCAAGCGGTTAATTAATGGCCAAACTATCATACAGTATGTCTTCTGAATGAAACAAATGAATATGAATTTATTTGTTATGTTCGTTGTAATCTATTTCAGATTAGTTGAAATTCGTTACTGTTGGGATTCAGAGATTCGGATACATCCAGATCTTTGAATCAGGATAATATAGTCCGAATTTCAATTCCTAACAAAATGAATCACACATGTCTGTCACATTAACAATGGAAACATACCGGTAATCGGTGCAGCATTGTGAGGTCCTTTACAGCACGTGTCAGTGTCCTCATGCTGCCCTAATACTGGGCCATTTCTTGGCAGTGTTAAAGCTCACCCATACACTTCTGTTTTCCATATATTGCTATTGACCATTGAGGCAGTCGGTGTTTGTTATGGACCAGTTGGAATATATGGGGAGTGAGAGGGAGCAGGCAAGCTCCAATGCTGCCAGGAAGTGTTGAAGTTTGGCTGCTTAGAGAAAGCTGGCGTTTTGGTGAAGCAGAAACACAGAAAGCTGCTGCTTGTGAAGACTATATTTTATACCTGGTTTTGTTTGTTACTTTTTTGTTTTTTTCCTATAATTTCCCCTGCACCCCAGAAGCCCCTGAATATTTCTCTTCTGGTTTCCATTGACCACATAAAACAGTGCAATATGATTGGAAAGGCAACCAGTTGAAAGGTGCATCATTGAAAAATGCAAAATTTGCTAAGGACTTTTTGGGATCCTCAGGGGCACTTTGAAGTTAGCAGTGTGGTCTGCAATCACTTGATGCTGCCTACTGCTTGCTATGCAATATTATTATTTTTCATGCACAGATCTGAAGGTTCTTTTCCACTGGCTGTCTTATGGGATATTATGATAAAACCTGACAGAGGTTGGGGAGTATGTAGTGGGGAAGGAGTTAGGATCTCTGTCAGGACTTTTTAATTGCTGTGTTCTGATTGGTTAGTATCCTTGTTCCAGGGACACCCAGTGTACTGCTGTGAGCTGAACTTCCTGTTTCCCGTCTTTGCACTGCATTTCATAATTCTCTATAGAATCTACTCACAGGAAGTAAGTTATACTATGAGCAGGCTCTTGTGGATTTTCCAAAAGAACATACGAAGAATGTAGTTTGGAGAGGGGAAACAGGAGGTTCAGTTCACAGAAATGCCCTGGGTGTCATCGGTACAGGGAATGAAAAAGATCAACCCAACAGAGATACAAACAGCTGTAAAAACCCAACAGAACTTCCCATCCTTCTCTCCTCTATCCAAAAGCACTCATTTTATAAAGTTCTTCTTCTTGAAAGAAATGTGTTTTCTCTTTGCAGATGGAGCATCAGTCAAGAATCTTTCCCAAGTCCTCTCTTCCACCGAGTGAAGATGCCACACTTTGCCTATCTGAAGATCTTCTGTATTTATAACTGCAAGGGGGCCATCATCCAGATAAATGGGCACACTCAATACTTGACTGCACTCTTTATTACCACTTTCATATCTCTCAGGGACATTTTCCTATATGGGCGCTGCTGCCATCAAGTCAGGGAAGTCCAGTCACCATGGAAGATCAGCAGATTTACAAGACTCACCTGGCATCCAACAGCAGCAATAGTTTGTATTATCAACAAATGCAACGTCAGTCCAGCAACCAGGTGCTCCACCACAGCTATGACTCTGTAGACATGAATGCCTCCGAGTCATCCTCCTCCTCCCCCCCCACTTATCTCAGGACTCCAGAGATGTCACTTCAGGGGTTCAAGTGGAAGTGTCCATGCCATCTCAATGGACAAATGCTGGTTCTGCAAATCACAGCAGAGCCCATAGTAGTTTAAATTGCTTTGAACAAAGCTTGCAGTGGAATCCACAAAATAATGTAGATGATGGATATCAGGTCTCCTACTATCCTCAGCTCGACAGTCACCCTAAAACGACCAGCGGGGCCTTACACAAACTGGACTCTTTCACACAAGTTTTTGCACGGCAGAATTTAAGGATTCATGCCATGTCTCAGGGTTTATCCCAGCCATCTCCACTGCTGGATGCTGACAGCACACACTCAGGCAGCTGTTGTCACTCAAGTCATCTGGTGAGGAGCAGACACAACCTAGCACGCTAGATAGGTACTCTCAGGTCTCCCAGCAGATACATCAGGGCTTGGCAAATCAGCCTCAGAAGCATTTGTTGCAACAGCCTCAGTCATATTTTTTCTACAAGCATTTGCAAACGCCCTCACAGGCACCCCAGTCTATGCAGCAGGGGCATCAGTTCAGGCAACAGGTGCAAACCCACCAGGTACTACAGCAGCACCCACAGGAAACCCAGCAGATGCAGTATTATATGCAGCAGAATCCAGGAGGGCATCAGAGGCCTTTAACGCAAGAAGTGCAGCAGCGGCAGTTTTCTGGTCAGATGTCTCAGTATTACCCTATACAGTCTGCAGAAATGCATCACAATATACAACAACCTCAGCAACATCACATGCAGCTTCAGCAACAGTCATATAATTCAGATTGCACAGCAAAGGCTGATCACTACCAGCAGGATCACTCCCAGAGCATGCAGTTGATTCAGCTGGGCTCAGTTCCGCAGTACGTTTATCAGAACTCCCAGACGCTTCGGCATCCTTACAAACAGAACTTGACTCCGCAGCATCTACAACAGGAGGTCAGCCCACAGAAACAGTATAACATGGACAATCAGCAAACAGTTCTCATGGATAGTCCAGTGGCAATGCCTAGTGCAGACCAGTTAGATAACAACTACAACCAGGAGACTCTGGGGATTTTGGCCAACACTACTCACCAGCAAGTCTTAACGGCGGACAACCCTTACATGCTTGGCAGCCAAGGTCTTCACCACTCTCCTACCACAGCTTGGCCACAGGTACTGCAGGATATCTTTCAATGATGGTTTTGCTCTCAATGGAAGCCTATTTAGCCCCATGAGGCAGGGGTAACTAAGCAGCCTACTTCTGCATACAAATAATGGGTCAGGATATGAATTGGGAATGTCACTCATGCAGTGTTTGCCGCATCTCACCCACATAAAGAACGGCAGTGGAACGTTGCACACAGATAATCAGATAAACCACTTTGGAGGACCTGCAGGAACATGTTCCCCTGATCCTCTGTATTTTCTGAGATTGTGACATATAATCTACATAATGTAACATTAACATCTTTCCACTCTTACAACAGTTTCATGTGCGTTGTGTGGTATTGCACACATCTAAGTGTGACTGGACCCATGAAGTTTACCTTTCACTGCACTGCACTGCATAGATGTAAACCAGCCCCTAAGGAAAGAATGGGATTTCTACTTAAAATGTCTTTTCATGCAGCAAAATTCATGGGTTTTGCTGCTTGTAAATGAACATGTAAATAGACAGTTTGGGGTTGATTTACTAAAACAGCAGTTTTAGAAACCAATCAGCTTCCAAATTTTTTGTAAAAGCTTAATTGAAAAAGTTGAAGTTAGAAGCTGACTGGCTGCCACGCTCAGCCGCACCAGATTTTATACTCTCTAATTTTAGTAAATCAATCCCACTATATTTTTCAGTTTACGATTTATTTGTTAGACAACTTTAGACCAGACAGGTGTGGACACATGCCCTGCGCCGTAGTACAAGCGACCTTATCAGCAATAACTTCCACCGGAGATCCCTGACTGTCTGAAGACTCCGTCCACTGGGCTACCCTACCATGTCAATGGCATTGCTTTGGCATTAGTTTGAGATGCTTTAGATTTCATCCAGAATTCATTGACAGGTGCATTTAACCTACAGTTGACCTGCTTCAAATCCCATAGACTTCTATATGAATGCAAAACACATTTGAACAAAAAGCTAGTGTAATTTACCGCATCAACATGGTGACAGCCAGTGCGCCTATCACAATGTCAAAATTCCTAATAAACTACCGCATGAAAATATGCGGTTATTACCGCAATATACTGTAGATATTTTACCGCAAGAGTTATGTACTGCAAAATTCTTAGTGAATTGCACTTTTCAAAAAATGTATTGCACGCGTTATTTTACCACATTTTTTCAGTCGTTATTAAACTTTTAGTGAATTGACCCCATAGTGTGCCATCCAGCAGCCATTTTTGGGTTTTGACAGGAGGCTAAGGCGCATTAAGAAGTGTCTCAACCAATGTCCAAGTGAAAAGGCTGTTTTCTCTTCTGGTCAAATATAAAATTACACTTTATTCACACAGCAAACATTTTTTTTAATATTAATTAAATCTCTTCGGGAGAGCTGCAGGTCTTAAGTTCCAGAGCTTCTTCAGACAAAAACATTGAAGGGCAGAGGGCTAGTTAAAGAGAGCACCATGTTGCTATAACTCGCTAATAACATTTCTATTTTTTTTTCACCAGAAATGACATGAATATTATTTTTTCTGTTTAATATAGCTTGTTCCAGATGGACAGACACAGACTGTCTCTCCGGATAACAGGTAATTGTGTGTTTGCGGCAGTCTTGTTTTTCGCTGTTCACATTTAGATGGTGAGAGTATCAAATATATATGCGTTAGCCAAAAGCCCTGTCACAAATTTACAAATGTATATTACTAAAAATGATCTGGGTATGGAAATGAACATTAAAAGAGATCCTCTCACCAGACTAAACATAGTTATTTGAACATGCTGTTTGCTGCTGTTTTATTTTTTAAGGTTGAATTTTATTTTTAAGATCTTGCACTTAGAGGGAAAAAGAGAAGAATCTGATGTGTCGGATTCTTCTTGTTTTGGCTGCACCCTGCTGCTCCTTCCTGGGCCACTATGTCCTATGCAATTGACAAAACTGAAGCTGTGTAGGAGAACTGCTTTAAAAGTTAGCCCTCGCTTACAGCGTGCTGAGGCTGTGTGTAGGAAAATGCTCCAGACCTTAGCCCCAGCTTACAGAGCACTGAGGCTCTGCGTAGAACTTCTTCAGACCTTCGCTCCAGCATAAAGAGTGCTGAGGCTGTGTATAGGAAAACTGCTCCAGACCTTCGCTCCAGCATACAGAGCGCTGAGGCTGTGTGTAGGAGGACTGCTCCAGAAGTTAGCCCCAGCTTACAAAGTGCTGAGGCTGTGTGTAGGAGAACTGCTCCAGAACATAGTCCCAGTTTACAAAGTGCTGAGGCTCTGTGTAGGAGAACTTCTCCAGGACATATTCCCAGTTTACAGAGCGCTGAGGCTGTATGTAGAAGAACATATCCAGAACATAGTCCCAGCTTACAGAGCACTGAGGCTGTATGTAGGAGATCTTCTCCAGAACATAGCCCAAGCTTACAGAGCGCTGAGGCTGTGTGTAGGTGAACTGCAGAACATAGTCCCAGTTTACAGAGCACTAAGGCTGTGTGTAGGAGAACTGCAGAACATAGTCCCAGCATACAGAGCACTGAGGCTGTGTGTAGGAGAACTTCTCCAGAACATAGTCCCAGCTTACAGAGCGCTGAGGCTGTGTGTAGGAGAATTTCTCCAGAACATAGTCCCAGTTTACAGAGCGCTGAGGCCGTGTGTAGGAGAACATTCTCCAGAACATAGTCCCAGCTTACAGAGCGCTGAGGCCGTGTGTAGGAGAACTTCTCCAGAACATAGTCCCAGCTTACAGAGCCTGAGCTTACAGAGTGCTCCAGAACATAGTCCCAGCTTACAGAGCGCTGAGGCCGCGTGTAGGAGAACTTCTCCAGAACATAGTCCTAGCTTACAGAGCGGTAAGGCCGTGTGTAGGAGAACTTCTCCAGAACATAGTCCCAGCTTGCAGAGTTCTGAAGCTGTGCGTAGAACTTCTGAAGCAGATCATAGTCCCAGCATACAGCGCTCTGACGCTGTGATTGAGAATAGCTTTCCTGCAGCAGATGAGCAAACAGCAACAAAGACGACTTGTTTGGGCAACCATATGGACAGAGAATTTGTCTTAGAAATGCTTTAAATTTTCCAGCCATTCACCTTAAAAGAGCTTATCTTGAAAGGCACTTGGGAGGAATTTTACTCACATTCTCTAAATAGGTGGCTACTAAAGGAAATCTTTACAAATGTGTAAAAAGAAGTATAATCAAAATACTGAACGGCAAGTAAGTTATCAATTTAAAAATAATGAGAAATTAATTTTGGTCACTTAAGGCAAAGTGTCCAAGTCTTCGCATAGCCCCATTTCCCTTCTAAGCATTTATTTTTACCAAGCCCCACACCGCCCTAGCCCGTATGAGGGAGCATGTATGTGATGGGGTTTTGAGTGGCCAATCACCAGTCCTCATCACTGTCACATGGGTGGGGACATATTTGGATTAGGATCTCTTTAAGTTAGACCAGTGTTAACATACTTCGAAATGTGTACTTGCATTAAATTTCATTAAATAAAAATGAAAACTGCTGAAACGCGATTTGTGACTCCAGTCATTGCTCTTTGCCATTTGTCAGAAGCTAAATTCTTGGTATGATACCCCAAATGTGGTGATTAATATGTTTCTTTTTCATTTTTGTGAATGGATGGAAAAGGATGTCTAAAACCCGACTCACATGCTCCGTGTGCTTTAAGGAGTTCAAAAGCCTGCCAGCTCTGAATGGTCACTTGAGGTCACATGGTGGGGTGAGAACCAGCACAGCCCTCAAACAGGTAACAGCATGGCCCAGTCCTTGTGTTTGCTTTCTCTAGCTATTCTCTTCATTGCAACTGGGTTGAAGGATACCCTAATTTGAATCTGTCAGCAAAAGTAAATTGCTTGGTCATGCAGCAGATCCCAAATTATATACAATTTACCTGTTAATCTAACCTTGAGTGGATGAAGACCTCCATGATCAGGGACAGGGGATTGGAGAAGACTGTAAAAGATTATTTGACCATTTCATTTCCTCAGAGTCCAAGTATTTACGTACAGTATAGCCATGTGTCCCTCTGTGTCCCTGGAGAGTAACGTTATGTATGGCATAGGAGTGCTGAAAACTGCAGTATGCTGGATTGTAGTGCATAATGTTAAGGGACTAGGGGCTGCTCTCTTTCAGCAGACGTATCCCAAAGTGGAAGTCTCTAAAACGTAGGAAAAATGAGACAATAGTGTCAACAGTATATCATAAAGTCTATTCCACAAAGAAATCCAACGCATTTCGAGGGCTCAGTTTCATGTGCCTGCATGGTGTAGTCCTTGACCTTTTCTCAATGATTCCCTATCATTTCACAAGCCCTGATGAAAGGGTCCCCGGCTTTGAGTCCCCAAAACCCGTTGTCTTTTTTTGTGGATTAAACTTTATGATGGGCGGTTGACTCTCTCCTTCTTCCTGTCTTGGAGAGTAATGGACAGAGTTTTCGGGTAAAGCCATACTTTTACTGTAGATTAAGATGAATGAGGCTTTGCTTGCTTCAGAGTCCCACAGCAAGTAAAGCGAAGGGAACATTTGTAATGCACACTGCTGTTATATAAAGGTTCCATTGTAAGGCCATACTGCAGCTTTATAAATGGCCCCCTATGTGCTTTGTCACCCTTTTTTTTCACCATGGCTGGTATAGATCTACACCTCTAGATTATTTAGGAGTTCATCCCATCACATAGTAGCAAACTATATTATGGGCTGACATTTTGAACTGTTCTGTGCAGTAATCAGAAGAGGCATAGAGCAATGGAGGGCCCCCAACCCTATGCAACATTTTGCTGTAAAGTTGGACATTTAAAGTAAATCTGTTATTTTCATAAACATATTAGTGCACCTCGGGGGATTGGAGCTCTTGGGTCACATGTGACGGTGTTTTCTGTATTCGAAGGGATTCACATAAAAAGACTACAAAACCACTTATTTTTCCAGATGATTAGTCAGTAACGCAGCATAAATGTCAGCAAAAAAATTTGATGCTTACATCGTCTCAATCTGCTCAGCATCACCATGATCTTGCTTTAAGATAGATTCACCTTGATAATCTTGATGGTTTCTTCAACACAGCATTGAAGGAGTTAACAGCAATGCTTGCTTGCTGTGTGCTTGCTTTATGCTATGCCAGTTATATTTTGTTTGTATGTAGACATCGTTGTTATATAAAATTACTGTAAGTGTCTTGTTGAGCTTGCGTGTCCAGGTGTCACCATTGTGTGAAAATATGCATGTTACGTTACTTGGGAAATTTCTACATTCTTTAATTATATTAGAATGTGGGGCATTTTGAAATATTTCTTAACATCCTGCAACGTGGTGACATGGCTGCATTACATTATTCAGTATATTCGTTTTAATCCGAGTATATTGCTTGTGTGCAGTAAGTGTGCTTATATAGATGATGGGGTTTACCTAAATCACTGAGATTAGGAGTTTGCGGTGAAATTTCGGGTGCTTATTATTGCTACTTCATACATTTTAGATAATGTTCCTAACTGTGCCTTAAGGCTAGGTTCACACTGATGCAGTGCTAATCTGATGCAATTTGACAGTGCGATTCTGTTGTGACCGGTATGATTCTGTTGCCAATGAATGCGATTTCTGAGGGGATTTGGCATGGATGTTGATAAAATTCTCACTAAACTCGCGCAGGACCCTTTTTTTTTTTAGCTGGATCAGAATCGCACCACATAGATGTGAACGGCTTTTGTAGAAAACATTGTTTTTCAGATGACATGCGAATATATGCCTTTCGGATCAGATCTAATCCACATAGAACTCGCATCAGTGTGAACCGGGACTAGTTTCACATCTATGCAGCTTGCGGTTGATGCATTTTCCCAACACTTTTTGCGGTTTATTTTGCATTTTTTGAGCACCTGTTTTTTTTTATGTTTTGATGCATTTCGCGATGTTTGTTTTGTCCTAATAGGAAAGTATGACAGTTCTGTTCATGTAGTGCGACTTTGATGCAGCTTTACACTCTCTGCCACTCAAGTAGCATCAAAGTTGCATCAAAATAGTGCAGAAACCTTTGTGTCCAAAGTCGCATTTTTCTTGGCTAATATGAAAGTATGACAGTTTTGTTCATTTAGTGCGACCTTTATGAAACATTACACTCTCTAGCACTCATGTAGCTTCCAAGTAGCATCAAAGTCACATCAAAGTAGTGCAGGAACCTTTGTGTCTAAAGTCCCATATAAGAGTTAGGGTTAAGGGCTAGAGCTAGAGTAAAGGGCTGGGGATAGGGTTAACTGTTAGGGTTTGGGTTAAGGGCTAGGGTTAGGGTTAACTGTTAGGGTTTGGGTTCAGGGCTAGGGTTAGAGGTAAAGGGTTAGGGGTTAATGTTAGGGGTAGTTAAGGGCTTAGGGTTAGAGTAAAGGCCTGGGGATAGGGTTAATGTTAGGGGTAATGTTAAGGTTTTAGGGTTAGAGTAAAGGCCTGGGTTAGGTTTGAATGTTAGGTTTGGGTTAAGGGTTAGGGTTAGGTTTGAATGTTAGGGTTAAGGGTTAGGGGGTTAGAGTAAAGGGCTGGGGATAGGGTTAAATGTTAGGGTTTGGGTTAAGGGTTAGGGTTAAATGTTAGGGTTTGGGTTAAGGGCTAGGATTAGGGTTAAATTTTAGGGGTAGGGTTAAGGGCTTGGGTTAGAGTATAGGGCTGGGGATAGGGTTAAATTTTACAGTTTGGATTAAGGGCTAGGGTTAGGGTTAAATGTTAGGGTTAGAGTAAAGGGCTGGGGATAGGGTTAAATGGTAGGGTTATGGGTTAGGGTTAAGGGTTAGGGTTAGAGTAAAGGGTTGCGAAAAGGATTACATTTTAGGGGTGGGGTTAAGGGTTAGAGTTAAATGTTAGGGGTAGGGTTAAGGGCTTGGGTTAGAGTAAAGGGCTGGGGATAGGGTTAAATGGTAGGGTTATGGGTTAGGGTTAAAGGTTAGGGTTAAGGGTTAGGGTTAGAGTAAAGGGTTGGGGATAGGATTATATTTTAGGGGTGGGGTTAAGGGTTAGGGTTAAATGTTAGGGTTATAGGCTAGGGTTAGGGTTAATGGGTAACATTAGGGTTAACTGTTAAGATTAAGGTCTAGGGTTAGCAGTAAACACTAGGGTTAGAGGTATTTGTTAGGGTTAGTGGTAATTGTTAGGGTTAGCGTTCCAACTCTAACAATTACTGCTAATCCTAGCTCCAACTCGAACCATTAACTGTAACCCTGACATTTAAGCTTAACCCTAACCCTAACATTGTGACTTTGGACACATAAAGGTTCCTGCACTATTATGATGCTACTTGATTGCCAGAGAGTGTAAAGTCACATCAAAGTCACTCTACATGAACAGAACTGTTATACTTTCCTAGTAGCCAAAAACAATGTGACTTTGGACACATAAAGGTTCCTGCACTGGATTGATGCGACTTTGACTCTTCTTGAGTGCCGAGAGTGTAAAGGCACATCAAAGTTGCACTACATTAACAGAACTGTCATACTTTCCTATTAGCCACAAAAAAAAATGCAAAACACATCATAAACAACACTTGCGTTTTGGGTGCAGATCCTTTGAAGTCTATAACACACACAACGCAATCTGTTGTGGGAAAAAACGGTCATGACCCTTTCCAAAAAACGCACCAATCTAAAACGCACAGGAGTGAACTATAACCATAGGAAACCATGTTAATGGACTGTAGTGTATTTCTGCAAAACGCGCTAAAGACGCATAGGTGTGAACCAAGGATAATAGTTTGGGGAAGGCACTTTTCTATTCTAGCATTAATGTTCCACAAACCCAGCTCCATAAAGACATGATTTGTTGGAAGATCTAGAATGACCTGAACAGAGCCCTGACCTCAACCCTACTAAACACCATTGGGACAAATTAAAATGCTGATTATGAGCCATTTCTTCTCGTCCAACATCAGTACCTGAATTCACAAGTATCAAATTCATTGAGTTTAGGTGTTTCTGGTGCAGAGTGCTGTTAATGCTACAGTGTTCTAGACATTTTAGGAAATTGTTCACTTCCAATTGTGCTGTAATAGTTTGCGAAGGCTTTTTCTGTTGTGGACTGTGCCACAAAGCCAGCTCCATGAAGACATGGTTTGATGGGTTTGGAGTGGAGGAACTAGAATAATCTGAACAGAATCTTGACTTCAACCCCACTGAATTGGAATGCTGATTGTGAGCCAGTTCTTCTCATCCCAAATCAGTACCTGAATTCACAAGTGTTCTCTTGACAGATTGGCAATATTTCCCACAGACACACCAAAAACTTGGTGTACATGCTTTCCAAAAAAGTGGAGCCACAAAGGGAGTCATAGCCTCAAAGAGAAGGAGACAACTCCATATTAAAGCAGACCTTCCATTCCAAAGGTTCACTTTTTTGCAGACCTCCTACAACTCCAACTCGAATGGCTTTTCAATCTATTGTAAGCAAACAGATCACCCAAAAAATAAAAAAATTTACTGCAACCCCAGCCTGTATGCTTCTGCAATGAACAGGTGACATCACCGTGTCTCACCACTGCCTACAGGGATAGCTGGATGTTCAAAATCACATTAGGATGCAATTCTGTAATGGGCTGGAGTGCATTCTTGTGGGATTTCAAGCTCCCAACTCTGCAGGAAGGCATAGTGACCTCACCCGTGCCTCTCGGAACGATTGGAGGCCAGGGCTAAGGTAAGTAGTCTGTTTTTCAAGTGATCTCTTTGCTTTAAAAGCTATTTGAGTTAGGAATGTGTGTGTGTGTGTGTGTGGAGGGGGGGGGTCGTGGTTCATGCAAAAAAGTAGACCTTCCATTTGGCAGTGAAGGTCCGTTTTAATGCCCTTGGTTATCAGTGGGAAAGTCCACGGTCCTTTGGCCATATAGTATATGTTTACAGTTATATCAGCATTCTTCTGATTTACCGCCATAGTAGTATTGTGGCACCCATACCTAAAATGCGGTTGGCCTAATTTTTTTTTTAAACATTCATTTTACTGATAAATGTAGCAGAATGAATAATAGCATACGTTCCAGTGGGTATGAGATGCAGACAATCTTTCATGCATAGTACACAGAATCTACTTTTCTGCAGAGTTAGTGATTTAGAGATTTAGATATTTAAAACATATTCCCAATGTACAGAAGTTCTGTAGTGAGACCGTAGGAATACATTTTAGGGGCGAATTGGCAAGATGGGAGTAAGAGGGAGAGACTGGTTATGTTAAATGCACACAGACCTGGTATTTGTATTTTAGGATGTGAAAATTTGCCATCAAGTTTCCAAGAGATGTATGAATTTGAGGAGTTATTCACATGTTCAGATAGTTTTTAGTGGACTTGACCACCCAAAAGCTGAAGCTGAAAATCTGAATTTTCACAAGATGAAGATTACAGAGAGAGACAAAAGGAAGATGAAGTTAAGAGGGATAGAAAGAGAAATGTGGATGCTGGAGAGGGTGACCATGGCTGGGCCTGTACAGTTGACAGAGTTGTCTAGACCAGTGTCTCAAGGCACCCCATTCTAAAATGTAAAAAAACTATTCTAATAATTTTGCATAATGCACCAACATCCAGACACATAGGACACCCACAATCAGAGGTGATTTATTGTTCCAAATCAATTACACTTTTGCACACTGTTACTGACTAGTATTCCAATGTTTCTCTTCTCTCTAAGTTTTTCTCCATCACTCAGCTAATGTGACCCCGGCATTGATGGAGAGGGGCAGGGCGGAGGTAAACAAGGATGCTGTGCAGATGACCAACATCCTCATTATCAACTGATGATTTCATTGCTTGTTTGGATGCCGGGGGCTAGAAGGTCATAATTTTTATTTATTTATTTCAGGTACTTATATAGCACTGTCAATTTACACAGCACTTTACACATATATAGTGAACATTCACATCAGTCCCTAACCCTCAAGGGGTGTACAATCTAAGGTCCCTAACTCACATTCATACATACACATACTAGGGCCAATTTAGACAGGATCCAATTAACCTACCAGCATGTCTTTGGAGTGTGGTCATAATGGTGCACAATGGAAACCTATGGCTTTGTGTAACTATAATGCAGGCTTGATCCACCTCTGGCTTGTACACAATTTTTGGGCAATTTTTAGGAATTTTGCCAAGGCACCCTTGGATGCCTGGGCACTCTGGTTGAAAAAGGCTGGTCTAGAAAACATGGCCTGTGCTCCTGTTTGTACATTTGAATGTAGGGAGAGTTCTGAATACAATGCTAGGTCTTGAGCATGACATAGTTTCTGTATCATTGGCATGAAATGCTCCACTGCTACTAATAATTTGGGCCTCATGACTCGGTAGTGTCTGGAATAAATAGTCTTGTTTCCCACAGGAACCGATCAGATTCTTCCTTTTTGTTCTCCCATACTGCAAAGGAACCTAACTGTTGTAGGTTACAGGCTCCAGTTCCTATTTCAGACATGTTTAGTCATGAGGCCCAGGCGTACTAATGCCTTTCTTGCATGAAAGTTTTACTCACAAGGTTAAAGTTGGTGTGTTGAGGACAGACGGTATTCGAGGTTGAACGTTTGTAATTATCCATACAGGAGGAAGGGGAGAAGGCGCAGTCTAGTGAGGCGGAGAACCTCACCCCCATCGTTATGCCTGTCTCTGTGCCTGTAAAGCTTGCGCCTCCAGAGCCTAATGCACAGCCCAGCAGCAGAGCAGAGAAGCCTGAGGGCTGTGCATCCGATGACGAAATGCCCATCTTAACGAAGATGACTTTTACCCCACCGTCCTCTCCAAAGGCGGTCAGCTCATGTGCCTCTTCTGTGAGTGCTTCCATCTGCTTGCTTCTTTGTGTTGTGTGTTATTTGTGTGATTTTTTTGGCCTATTATTTTTTCACTTAGATCATACCTGTAAAATTATTACAACTGCGACTTCCAAAAATATGACTTGACCTTGCCGGCAATGACATTATGCTTAATATCATGTCATATTCCTTCACAATGTAATGCACTGGGGAAAGAGATTTGGAACTATGGGACTTTTATTCTTCTGTCTGTCAGTAGTATTGACGCAGCAGCTTTTGCTGCTCAGAGTCCCCCAAAAATAGTTATTACCTGTCAATCCTGCAACTAAATCCTTTTTGCTCTTCCTTTTAACAGGATGACAGCACTGTTCGATTTGAAGGGAAATCATACAACCACATATGACCATGTGGGCAGGGTAGTCCAATGATGACCATACATGTTTTGATAAATGATCGTTATATTTTCTGATCGATCTCTTTCAATAGAGATAATTTATCTGTAGTTGACAACCGAAACGATCGATATGCTACACATAGGGAAGCAGAATTAGATCAATTGTTGGCGGATATGATCGGAAGTTATTGATCGAATCTCTGTTTCTACTGCGCAAACTCATAATCTGATCGACTGAAATTCATGAAACATAACTAAAGCATCTTAATGATGCCGATCAACACAAAACAATTTGTCATTCTGGCTGATCTACTTAGGTTAAGTAAATCAATTGGAAGTGGATATATAATTGTTTGCCAAATTCAATTGTTTTGGTAGAATCGCACATCAATCAGATAATAAAATCAAAGTGTGTAAGCAAATGAAAAAAGAACAATGTCAGTACATCTCTGCAATGCATGCATGCTTCATGTTTTTTTTGTCTCTTTACAAAGTCTGCAAGTACATAAAATACCTGGTTATCTGCCAAAAATCCAATGAGCTCACTTCCTGTAGTGAGCGGACAGCACAATGCCTCTACTGCTCTCAAATTCCAAGCAGTGTTGTCAGCCCTGCCTGGTTCTCCCCTACTCGAGGACACATGCCTCCCCATCTAGTCCTCTCTATTGTATAGGAATGAGGTGTTCAGTAGTCCAGCAGGATAGAAATTAGGCAGGGCTGATTCATTCACGAATCCATAACTGTGCTGAAGACTAGCCTCCCCTGGACAACCTGGGTGCCGTCCATCACAATCCATCTCCACTCCTCACTGAAAATAAGGGAAAAAAATCAGCCTCACTCCAATTTGTTCCTTCTGCAGTACATTTAATAATCAGTGCATTGACTGCATACAGCGATGTCTCCAACCCAAATCCAACCCTCCCTGATGCACCCCACCACCCCTGGCCTATTTACAAGGATCCTTGTGAGCGGGCCAGGAGTGGTGGGGTGCATCAGGGAGGGCTGGTTTTGGGTTGAATACATCGCTGTATGCAGTCAATGCACTGATTATTAAATGTACTGCAGGAGGAGCTAACTGGACTTCGGCAGATTTTTCTCATATTTTAGGGCTGATTCACTACCTGGGATTTTAGTGTAGCAGAGGCAGTGTTGAATAACTTGTAAAGTCGGCTCCTTTATGAACTTTACCAACTCTAGCTGCTCTTATGTAATAAATTGTCTGAGGGAAGAACCACCAATCAGATTTTCTCATTTATATTCTCTGCAAAGATGTTTTATAAAAGATGACTTTTGGAATTTGGTTGCTGTGCACAACAAAGTTGGTTCTTCTTTGAGATACTTTCATGAGGCCTACAGTTCTCCAGAAGCTGATTGGCCAGAGTAATACCAAATCATTCACTATACACTGGTGGACATTGATAAGTGAAACTTCATTTAGGATATAAAAAAATTAAGTCTCATCTTGTAAATGTTGTGAATCCACATTTAGGAAACGATCAGAACACATCAGCAGTCTGGTACGAAATTAAGCAAACCAGAAGATCACACCAAACCTCACCAGGAAAGAAGAAAGTATCGCCATAGGCCTGAGCCTCTCTTCATACCACCTCCTTCCTTCAATGTGAATGCGTCTCACTCAGGAGCAACATTGTACCAAAGCCAGCTCCGCTCTCCACGGATCATTGGAGAGACACTGCTGGGAACCCAGGAGCTGCCCACCTACACACCGCCTCCAATGCTTAGCCCTGTGCGCCAGGGCTCAGGACTGTTCAGTAGTGTCATCACAGCGGCGCATAATGCCCACCTCCCTCTCACACCTCTGACGCCCACTCCAAGAGTGCTGCTTTGTCGCTTCAGTAAGTATTCTGTTTTCAAATTTGTATTTAAATAGTTTTCCACTTAAATCTTTTAGGAATGGCATTACTTCAGACCCTTTCTACAGTGGGGAAAATAATTATTTGATCCCCTGCAGATTTTGTAAGTTTGCCCACGTACAGAAAAATGAAGGGTCTATAATTTCTATCATAGGTGTATTTTAAATGATAGAGACAGAATATCAACCAAGAATCTAGAAAAAAACACTAGATACAAATGTTATACATTGAGTTGCAGTTCAGTGAGTAAAATAAATATTTGATCCCCAAGTAAAATATGACTTAGTACTTGCTGGAGAAACCTTTGCTGGCAGGCACAGAGGTAAGACTTCTTGAGGTGGTTACCAGGTTTGCACACATCTCAGGAAGGATTTTGGTCCACTCTTCTTTACAGATCTGCTCTAAATCCTTAAGGTATCATAGCTGCCACTTGGCAATTTGAAGTTTCCGCTCCCTCCATAAATTTTCTATAGGATTAAGGTCTGGAGACTGGCCAGGGCACTCCATGACTTTAATGTGCTTCTTCTTGAGCCACAACTTTGTGCTGTATGTCATTGTCAGGCTAGAAGACCCATCCACGACTCATCTTCAGTGTTCTGGCTGAGGAAAGAAGATTCTCATCCAAGATTTTAAAATACTTGGCCCCGTCTACTGGCCAATCAATGAGGCAAAGACAGCCTGTACCTTTAGCAGAGAAATAGCCCCAAAGCATAATGTTTCCACCTCCTTGCTTGGCTGTAAGGATGGTGTTCTTAGGGTCATAGTTAGCATTTTTCTTCCTCCAAAAATGCAGAATCAAGTTAAAGCCAAAGAGCTCAATTTTTGTCTCATCTGACAACAGCCCTTTCTCCCATTTCTTCTCTGATTTATTTAGATGTTCATTGGCAAACTTTAGACGAGCCTGTACATGTGCCTTCTTGAGGAGGGGGGACCTTGCGGGTGCTGCAGGATTTCAGTCCATGGCGGCATATTATGTTACCAATGGGTTGTTTGGTGACTGTGGTCCCAACTGCTTTGAGATCGTTCACAAGCTCCTCCTGTGTAGTTCTGGGCTGATCCCTCACTTTCCTCATGATCATCCTTTCCCTATGAGGTGAAATGTTGCATGGAGCTCCAGACTGAGGGCGATTGATGGTTATTTTGTATTTCTTACATTTGCGGATAATCGTTCCAAACAGTTGTCTCCTTCTCCCCAAGCTTCTTGCTGATGGTCTTGTAGCCCATTCCAGCCTTGTGCAGGTCTACAATCATCTTGTCTTTGACATCCTTTGACAGTTCTTTGGTCTTTCCCATCATGGTGATGAGGTTTAAATGGAAGAAAGAGATTATGTGCACAGCTTTCTTTTAAAACACATAACGAGTTGTCTTACGGAGCACTTTCTTAAATTGACACCACATGTACCACCAATGTACCACATGAGGCCAGTCTGTGGGAACCAGAATTATTGTTGGTTGGTGGGGGATCAAATACTTATTTTACAACATTTGTATCGTGTTTTTTTCTGGATTTTTAGTTGATATTCTGTCTCTATCATTTAGAATACACCATATGATAAAAATTATAGACCCTTTGTTTCTTTGTAAGTGGGCAAAATCTGCAGGGGATCAAATAATTATTTTCCCCACTGCATATAGCCAACAAATTGACAAGTAAGAGGAATTTGCACTATATCTATAACACCTCTAGAAACCCTAATGAAAAGCTCCAGAAATGGGATTACTTTAAAGATTTACTTTGGACTGGCTTGGCTCAAACAAATTATTCAATTGCCACCTCTGTGTGGTCAATGGTAAAGCTGGATAATTTGTTTGAGCCACACTTATCCAGAGTAATTTTATACCTTGAGTTCTTTAAAGTCCAGAAAAGGATTTTTGCTCTGTGTGGAAGCACACCCCCTGCTGAGTCTGAGCTAGAGCTCTCCAATCCGCAAGGAGCATTAACTTTGTAGATTGTAGAGCTATTAATTTGACTAAGTGGGGGCATATTGAACCTCTGGAGAAAGACCACTGCATCCATACAAAGAACAAGGGTCCTTTTCAGCAGCATGCTTGCTGGCAGGGGTAGTCTTTGGCTGCTTACTAAAGAAAAAAAATTGTACACCTTTGCAAACCTTTTGTTTTGATGCACCTGGATTGTATTTAGCTGGTTTAATCTGAATGTTCAGTTGGGATTAAATAAAAAGAACCAAAAGTAATAAGAATGTTCCCACCATTCTCCTATAGTTGCACAAAACTCACTATACAGTATGTCCATAGAGATCGATCCAATAATATTTAGTCTACATAGATGTCTAACATAGTAACAGTGGTAGGGACATCAAAAGTCCAACTATTTGAGTTCACTGAAACTCACCATGTCCTGGTGAAGATAAAATGGGAACCTGGTTTGGATTCTGTACTACCTTTGAATACTGTTGCCTTTGAATATTTTTATCTTATGAGTATGTCTTATTACTTATGAAAACATGCTTGTTTTGCACTAATATTTTCCATTTTCATCTCCACCTAGCCTTATTTTCTGGCTATAGAGATTTTTAGAGGGACTGGTGGGAAGTCCATCCAAATGTGTGTGGAAATACAAGCGCGCTATCAAGGGTTTGATACCTTATGGTTCTCTGTATGGAGGAATATAGAAGGGGACACTGTAGTTACATTGGGTTATTGGAGGAGAAATGATTGTGGTACATGATTGTCAAGGTCCTACCTTTTCCCAGAGGTTATGTTACTCCATGTGCTAGCATCCATCTTGGATTTCTGCTGAGCATGATGGGAATCTTTTATGCCTTCAGGTCTCTGAGGTCCATCCCCCAGAGGGGTGTGGCTGAGTACATATAAGCCTGGGATCTGCACATGCTCTTTGCACTTGTGTCTTGTGTCTTTGTCTTGCTACAGCTCTGTGTATACGCTTGTGACTCTTCTGGTATTCTGACTCGGCTTGTGACTAAGACCATTCTCTGTGTTTCCCTTTGATCTGACCTTCTGTTGCTGAACCCGGCCCGTGACCTGTGATTCTCTGTCTACTGTTCTGTACTGTTTTGTCCCGTTGTTATTGACCCGGCTTGTCTGACTACGCTATTGTCATTCTCACCAACTACACGCCATTGGCGGCGGCCATTACCGCAGCTGGGGTGTCTCGGGGGCCGCGACCTGGTCCCTGGTTGCGTCAAGTCCATCCCCACCATCAGGGGCCCTGGTGAAGGGCAGCCTGGGACTTAGACTCCGCGCCCTGAGGGACTTCAGTCTGTTGGTGGTGGTTGTCGTCAGCCAGTGCGTTACCCTGCCACTAGGCCTACCTGTCCGTTCCACAGCCCTGCCCTGACATTGATAAACTCTGGAAGGTGTCATGCTGACCCTTTGGTTTTAATACATTTATCAGGTGACCCAGAATAGGTATACATTAACCCACCAACTCTCCTGATCTACATACTTGTTCCAGGTCAGTGGATCAGAATGTATCGATACTGAAGACTGCCTTTTCAAAAGGAGGTCTGAAAGGACAACCCCCATATTTCCCTTATGACAGGTTTGCTTTATTGCTTCAGAGAAAATTGCCGTAAAATGGTACACAGCAAGCCGGGTGGCTAGCTGAGAAGACCCATGGAGCACTGTATCCTTACCAGCCAAATATCCAGCCTAGCAATATAGTTATCTTTGTTGTTGCAGGTCCTGACAGAATGATAGTGGTCACAGGGTGGTGACCCCAGTTACTGAGAAGACTTGAAAGCTGTAGTTGATATTGAAATGTGTTGACAATGCAGGCGTCCATTGATGTCATCATCTGTGTATAATGATATGTTTGTTCATCAGATATCATTGATGGGACTGGTGCGACTGTGACACCTGGGCCTGGAGAACACACTGTTGATGTTGAACCGTAAGAAATGCTATACTTTTATACATTTATGTGTCCATATATTACATCTAATTATCAAACCTGTTAGTGTACTTGTTGCATGTATGCATTATAAGCAGATGCAATGAGTTGAATGCAGCCTAACAGAAAAGAATTACAAGCAACTAGAATTTGCATACCTCTGTCTGAGCATAGGAGCAAAACCGACTAAGATAATACCTATTACTGTGTTTACTATTTCACTGCTGGCATTACAGTATCATATTTTCCAAAGATTATTATTGTTTTACAGGACTTATTTTGCACTGCGCAAAAATAAGGGTGACAGTAGAGTTACAGTGCAATGCAAGACAAGAGGGTTAGGAGGGCCCTGTTCTTGAGAGCTTACAATCTAAAAGGGAGGGGCAAGTGATACAAAAGCCAGTAATTATAGGGGGAAAAGTTGATGGAGAAAAAGCCCATAGAGAACTTAGAAAGCTAAGATGCCTAACCATGGCCATACCATTGCTCCCATCAATTAACACTGGAGGTCAGTAGGTGGGCTCCCAGTCATGACTACTGTGATTGCCTGTCACAGTGGTCTAGCGGTCTAAACCAATCTCAACCAACAGCAGCTTCTAATGTTTTACATTGAGTTATTCTGTGTTTTAAGGAGGATCAATATTGGATCAAGATTCCAGGCAGCGATCCCAGATCTCCAGTGTCCGTCACCAATGAAGAAGGAGACGCACAAAGCCACTCTAGTGTGGAAGCCTTTGCCAGATCAAGAAAAGGAGGAGTCACAGCAAAAAGGTTAGAGCCAAAACATTTTTTTATTATTATTATTATTATGATACAGAATTTATATAGCGCCAACAGTTTGTGCAGCACTTTACAATATAAAGGGAGACAGTACAATTACAATACATGTCAGTACAGAAGGAATATGAGGGCCCTGCTCGTGGCGCTTACAATCTAAAGGAAGGGGAGGTGGTACAAAGGTGATAGCTGCAGGGGATGATCTGATGGAGGTGGCTCAAGTACAGTTCTTAGGTAGAGGTGGGGTAGACTTCCCTGAATAAGTGAGTTTTCAAAGATCGCCTAAAGGCAGACAGGGTGGGGGATGACTAGACATACTGTGGTAGGGAGTTCCAGAGGTTGGGAGAGGCTCTGGAGAAGTCCTGGAGGCAAGCGTGGGAGGAGGTGATGAGGGAGCTAGAGAGGAAGATATCTTAGGAGGAGTGGAGTGGGCGTTTTGGACGATATCTGTGATGAGGTTGGTGATGTAGCTAGGGGCAGCATTGTGGATGGCTTTGTATATTGTGGTTAGTATTTTGAATTTTATAATTTGGGTTATTGGAAGCCCGTGAAGGGATTGGGAGAGAGGGGCAGCAGTCGCTGATCGGTTGGTAAGGTTTATGAGGGTAGCAGCAGCATTCATAATAGACTGAAGGGGGGATAGCCTATGTAACGGTAGACCAGTGAGGAAAGTTCCTGAAGGATACATACTCTAGCAACTTGTTTTGCTATTAACATTATCAGAACATTATGCAAAGATATTTCAACTGTACAGTTATAAAAGTGACTGGATTGGTTCTATGCTGTAACCCAGTGTTTCTCTACCTTTTTTAAGTAAAGGCACCCTTTAAAATTGTGTGGAATCTTGAGGCGCCCATTATAAAATGTCAAAAAATAAACTAATAGTTTTATATAATGCAGCAACATCGCACAAACATATAAAAATGATACAGCGCAAATAATAAAAATAATCCAAATGTGAAAACTTATATATTAAAGTCCAACAAAAAAGCCCCAAATTAAAGTCCAATGTCCCAAAAATTTGTGAAAAAAATATTTTATAGAACTGTAACTCAAACTTCATAAACTTTCCAGCATGCTCACATCTTCTGTGAAAAAAGACTTTTTGATCCACACTCACCAAACACTGTGAATTCCCGAGATAATATAGCTTTAAGATCAAAAAGAGAAGCCTGCAGGTGGGGTGTGGTATCCTCAGACATTGTAATACTCTTTAAGCGATTTCTCACTGACTCTCCTTCCCAGATACTTCCACATATAGCGATAAAACATAAAAGAAAAAATCATCCAAAATAAAACTCTATGTGTACCCAAAGAAAAGTAAAAACTTTCACCCTTGAAAGTGCAAAATTATTAATATAAACCTTTTCAATGTGTATTCCCCACCATTCACAACCTACCCCATTCCCAAACAAAAAAAAAAAAAAAATCCACAAATGTCCAAAGTGTTCACAAATATCAAATCTTCCAAAATGATGTCCAAATCTTCACTCCAATTCAGAATACCTCAAACAAAATATAAACTAAATATAGTGCATTGCCCTTTAAAATTGAATACAATTCTGTGAAATCATGCACAAACACTAGTGAGAATATAACAGCACACAAAAACAAAAAACAAAAAAAAAATATAATATGAAATAAATTTATATTGTATAGTGTTTAAACACAATGTGAAATTCAAATTCAAAATCCACACTGGTGGTAAAGTGAATTAATTGCTCCAAGTGTAATATAACACACCACACAAATGCAATCAGTGACACAGTGCACTAAACCAAATGAGTGCCCTCACTCTGTGTTAAGATTACACACTATTACCCTCATTCAAATTAAGTAGGCATTTTCCATATTTTCCGCAGGTCAGGTGGCTTTTCCTCTTTAGAGGGGAGTACAACGAAGTCTCCCCATTCCTCACAGAGAATTTAATAAAAATAGTATCTGCTTACATTGCATAAAGGACTATCCATCCACTAGCAGGCCACATCCAAAATGGCCACGATGCTACTTCCGGTTTGCATCTGACGTCACGACCCTGACGCGTTTCGTCACTTCCGACTTTTTCTTAAGGGATATAGGGTCGGAACCGGAAGTTATGTCAACACGTTTCGCCTTCCCACACGTTTTAGTAGTTTTATATAATGCAGCAACATCTCACAAACATAGGAAACCCAATGTTAGAGGTGTTCATTCTAAAGAAAATATACCTTTTCACACTGGTACAGACTAGTATGCCAACGTTTTCTCTTCTCCCTCAGTCAGGGCTGCTGTTAGATATCACAAGACTCTGTACATTCTACTTGACAGGGCACCCCCCCCCCCCCCCCCCACACAACACAAAAATATCGCCACTAAAAATACACTAAAATCATTATTAGTGTACAAAAACATAACATAGCATACAAAATCCCTGCTAAATCTAAAAGATAAAACTGTATTGAGTTAATAAATAAAGTTCTGTGTGTAAATTAGGTCTTGGGGCTCATTCACATAGGTGAAGTGTAAATCACAGCTATTGCAGTGTGCAGGCTGCCCATGTTACGCTATTGAGATGCAGCAGCTGTACGAAGACAGCCACAGGTCCTAATTTGATAGGCACGTAGATGCAGGGGTATGGCCCCAAACACTGACAGTGTGTTTTCAGGGCCACTCACCCACACCTGTGCATTTATCAAATTAGGGCCTGCGGCTGTGTTCAGAATGCTGTACAGGCACCTGACATCCTCCCTAAACTGGCCCTCAACTGATGATGCCATGATGTTGGCATGCTGATAGCTAGAAGGTTGTAATCATGTGCAATGAAAACCTGTGGCTTTGTGCAAATAAAAGGCGGGTTTGACCCACCTGCTGGTGTATATGCAATTTTACGGCAATTTTTATTTTGTCAAGGCACCCCTGAAGAAACATGAAGGCACCCCAGGGTGCCTGGGCACCCTGGTTGAAAAAGTCTGCCGTAAACCATACTGCAAACACTGAGGGTGATGTGTTCTCCACCAATGATTTCTGTGCTTGTGGAAGCTTCCAGGGACCTTCTAATGATCATAAATAATGAAGACCTCTGCTGTCCGGAAGTAGGGTCTGAGGCTAATGCATGCACATTAGCATTACTAAGCATGGTTCCATCACACTGCACCCATGACACCGTCTTCACTTTACCAAGGCCACTATGATAAAAGATACATTTTGAATATTGATAGGGAGTTTATTACCATAATATGCAGGTTAAGTGTCTGTTCACGTGCATTTATTTATTACATCAAATTTTATAGAGTCTATTAGAATGCTAATTCACTTTTAGTATCATATTATTACCCAGGATACAAGCTGTATAAATTAATTTGTGCACATCATAATTCTCCTATAAGGAATTTAGTGTTAGTTGGACCTACTGATGAAGAGTACTGGAAGTCTGGGCCTCTGATGCTTTGGAAGATTGGAGTAATGCCTATATAAGCATGATCTTAGTTTACTAATTTTCAGATAGGTACTCCTATACATTAGAGTAGGATCTGCACATGCATAGATCTCTTTGGTGGTTATCATGTATATTGCGTAATGTATGTAACTGAGGCCATTTTTTATTATGACTTCATTGGCAGAACTGAGCAGTGGGGAATTAGTTTTGTGTGTCTTAAGCCTCCCTTGTGCATTTTTGCTGTTTTTAATGTTATTTTTAGATATCCGTAGTCCGCATTCTTATTGGATTGAGATTTACACTTTAAGAGGTTCATTGATATTAGTGTATAACTTCCACATAGGTCAATTGCTGTACCTTTGAGAAGGTAGGCCTGGCCTTACACATCTTTTTCACTAACCTATTGCTACTCTGTGCTACAAGAATCCCTCATGATGCCCCTGCAGTGACAAGTTTAATTTCATAGTTGGCCAGGTTAGTATATATTGTTACGTGAAAAAAATTTAAGTACTGTAATAAGTTAGCGGGAACCTGTCAGGGGGGAAATATGGAAGCCAACATTAATGACTTCCTTTTGAAAATGCTAGTCACCTGGCTGTATGCTAATGCTTTGATTTTAATATTTCCTGGCCTGGAACAAGCATGCAGATCAGAAATTCTAATGTCTCTCTGAGTTTCATTTCCTTCATGCAACGGGAGGTCAGCAGTGGCTTCCCCTGTAAGGAGTAAACTCCTGTCTGTTTAATGGATGGAACTTTCTCTTTGAGCATTATGCTAATCTTTGATGGAACATGTGTCTTTTTGTACAGTGGAGGTGTTTCCTGAGCATGTCCTGCTCCAGTGTACTGCCCGGTGGAGGAACCAATCTGGAGTATGCTCTGCATTCCCTCTTTGAAGCCAATGGGGACATCATGGTAAGAATTTATTTTACTTTGCATTGTTTATTAATGAGGTTTTATTCAAAATAACCTATCATGTAATCCTGACCTGTAAGGTCCCCTGGAGGGCAGTGTGCAGTAAAGGCAGAGCTCCTAGGGTTGGTATAATGATCCTGAACTGGAATTGTCCAACCTTTCAATCTTATAGGCGCCCAGTTCTGTAAATCATCTGCCAGGTTGCGGGTTATACCTTAGCTGGTAATCCAGCGGCAGTACTCCTTCATTTAACCCCCATGGCTTGCCAGGTTGAATGGTGTTCAAGAGATGGAGCACCTTACTTTTGCTCTCAATGACAAGACCTCTGATCAAAACCAAAAATTGGATTTTTTTTTAACGACTTTACATTTTCCTCTAGATACCAACAATTACTTGGGTAAATTTGGCTAGAGCCACCAGGTCACTGACTTTGCTACAGGCCTTGTAACAAACCAAAATTGTGCTTGGCTGATAACCTAGGAAATGTTCTTTACATTGTTGATTTTCAGTTTAGCCCTCCTTGCCCTTTCCCTTCTTTCACCCTTTTTCTTTTTTTTTGTCCCCCCCCCCATTATTGATAGTTTCCCTTGAAAAGACTGTCACATAGCTCTCTCTTTCTTTCCCTCAATATGTTATATACCCCATCAGACACCCTATGCTTGCCCTTTCCCTGTTTCCAAAAGTTATAAAAGCTTGGTAATATCATAATTTATTGCAGAAGAGACATTACATGATTTGGCTGCAAAGGATAGGAGGGTTTAATTCTGCTTTAAGACTGAAAAACAAATTCTTTATTTTTAAACAATAATCATAGAGGTAGGCATCTGTGTTCCTATAATGACAAATGAGATGTTTTCACATTTATTAACTGACAAAAGAAAAGTGACAGTTGGGATCCCTGTTAAATACGGTGTTTGTTTTTTTCTTTATGCAGAGCGCTCTGGAGATGCTGCTATTGAAAGAAATGCCAAGACTAAAAAGCCACCCACTAGCAGACTACCACTATGCAGGTAAACTCTTCCTTCAGTTAGCATTCCATTAGCGTGCGTGCGGGTGTGTGTGTTGCAAAGTAGGGAGCCATTTGCAGTGACCTATAGCAGGCACTCAATTATTGTTCATTATTCTATTTGCTGTATAGTGATGAAAGCTGAGGGTTAAGGTTTATTGACAGACAGTGAAGTATCAGCTAGTATCTTTACTCTGGTATCCCGTAGTGTCTTCTGACAACGCATGGTCAGCACAAGACGGCCAGAGATATTGACTCTTGTAGAGATCTGCTGTATTCGTGTGTTCTTTTTCTAAAGCCAGTCTATATCCATATCTTTCTTTCATGTAGGTTGTAAGAGATTGGATACTGGAAGAATTAATAGGGAGGATTAGACCTTGATCACACAGGCATACGTAAAGTGAAACTTCACCCTAAAGGGGAAGTTCTGCTTTATGCCCCCCTCCTCTTCCTATTTTCGAACATTTTTTTTTTGGGGGGGTGTTTCTCACAGTTAACATGCCGGCACCAGGGACCCAAAGACTGGCAAAGAACCAGCCTAGGTGAGGACAGCGCTGAATGTCTGGACAGGTAAATGTCCTTTTAGTAAAAGTTAGTTACAGTATTTGCAGCTGCTGACTTTTAATATTTTTCAAACAAGGTGAAGGTCCTCTTTAATCATACACCTGTGTGAGAGCCATGTTTGCCTGCACAGGGATGAATCTGTTTTAATGCATTCCTGTGCAGGTAGTACCATTCATGTCAGTTGGGACACAGCGGCTACAGGGACATAGCTACTGCTCTCAGTTTGACAACCATGTGGATATTGGTGCTTGTCCCCAAAGGCAGACAGTGTTTGGGGACATGCACCCACAGAGAACACCTGTGTTATCTCAGTGCAGGCAAACACGGTCCTCACATGGACTTGTGCCTTATATGTGCTGCAGAGTGAAAGCAGGAAGCCATGGGAATGTCTGTAGCTTTCTACTAATGTGGTCACTGAAAAAGGTTATGCTTGGTTTAAAGAAAAAACTTCACCCATAACTAACAGTTCTTGCTGCATATCTTCTTGGTAGTTTATATAAGTAAAGGTAAACTGAATAGGTAAGGGCTTGTGTACAGGCATAGCTGCCCTGGGTGCAGCGGTTATTGACGGTTGGGGATTTCATGAGTTCCTTGTACTGCAAGGCTGACAACAGTAGTGACAGCAGCATCACTTCTCTTGTCTGCTGAGTGCTGTAAACAGCAAGGAAAGGAGCAGAGAGCCGGGAGGAGGTGTGGACTGTGTTCTTTCTCCCCCCTCCTTCCTGCCAGTGTAGGGCTCCTAACAAGCTGGCAGCTTGTTCCAAACAGTTGTTTTTGCTATCTTTCTGATGTGTTTGTTTTGTTTTTTTTTTCAGCCTAATGATGGCTTGCTTCACTGATAGTGACAGCTCTTTGGATCTCATCTTGAGAGTTGACAGCAACAGATTCCAAATGCAAATAGCACACTTGAAATGAACTCTGGACCTTTTATCTGCTCATTGTAATTGGGATAACGAGGGAATAACACACACCTGGCCATGGAACAGCTGAGAAGCCAATTGTCCCATTACTTTTGGTTACTTAACAAGTGGGAGGCACATATCCAAACTGTTGTAATTCCTACACCGTTCACCTGATTTGGATGTAAATACCCTCAAATTAAAGCTGACAGTCTGCAGTTAAAGCACATCTTGTTCGTTTCATTTCAAATCCATTGTGGTGGTGTATAGAGCCAAAAATTTTAGAATTGTGTCGATGTCCCAATATTTATGGACCTGACTGTAACTTTCATGACCTTTAGGGTAAAATTTAATCAGCAGGTATGCAGTGGGATCAGAGCAGTGCCCATGCACCAATAACAGTGCATCACAGGACACTTTTTTTTTTTAAACAAACCTTATTGAGATGTCACACGGTGACATTTCATCAAGTTCTTTTGGCTGCAGCGGCATTGGATTGGCTCTCACTGCACTGGAAAAAAGTGCACATGCAGTACTTTTTTTCAGCACAGGCCACCACAACGCAGTGCTGTTAACTTGGCCAGATAGGAGACAAGGCATTTTGCCTTGTCTTGCAGTGGGACTGCCCAGTGTTAAAACTGCAAAATATGCTATTTTTTCACCTTTTTTTTCCCTAATACCTCTACCTTGCTGTACCTTGCTAAGTTTCTGGCTGCTCTGTAACAGATTGCAAGCTGTATTGCAGAGCTGTATTACACAGCTGTATGATGCAATGTCCTGTATTTCCACTAGCGGTGGTAGTGAAAGTAGTAGTAGTAAAAGTAAATATAATAGTAGCACAGTGCCTGGTTGTCTTGCGCTGCACGTGGCTGCAGTGAGTTCAGACACCGAGAAGTGATGTGCCACTGGTTAGCTTGCATAACTCCATAACGGCTGCACCTGGTCCTGACTTATGAGGTATTGAACTCCACAGTCACTTCTCCTTTAAATGATGGTTGGTTTAGGTACTCTCAGTGCCACACATGGAGGGAGCTTCCTGACCCCAGATCTCCTGGCTGTCTCCCCCAGGGGCAGACCCCACCAGCAAAGGGGTCACCTATAGATGGCTGGGCCCTGAGCTGTGCTCTCCATAGTTACGTAGTTAATCTGGTTGAAAAAAGATACTAGTTCAACACACACAAATAGAAAACTTCCATATACACAAACCTATACCCACATATGATCCAGAGGAAGGCAAAAAAACCCCCAATAAAGCATGATCCAATTTGCTGCGGGGGGAGGGGGACGGGATTCCTTCCTGATCCCCCAAGAGGCAAACAGATATTCCCTGGATCAACTTTACCTTTGAATATTAGTGTCCAGTTATATTATCTGTATCTAGGAAAGAATCCAGGCCTTTCTTAAATAAATTTACTGAGCTGGCCAGAACCAACTCTATTCCACATTTTCACAGAAAGATGCCTTTTCGCATTTGGAGATTAAAGAGTGCCCCCTTGTCCTCTGTGATGCTCTTAAGGTGAATAACTCTACACTGAATTCACTATATGAACCACTGATGTATTTATACATGGTGATCATATCCCCCCCCTTATGTATTATACATGGAGATCATATCCCCCCTTATGTATTATACATGGAGATCATATCCCCCCTTATGTATTATACATGGAGATCATATCCCCCCCTACATATTATACATGGAGATCATATCCCCCCTTGTGTAATATACATGGAGATCATATCCCCCCCTTATGTAATATACATGGAGATCATATCCCCCTTATGTATTATACATGGAGATCATATCCCCCCTTATGTATGTAATATACATGGAGATCATATCCCCCCTTATGTATTATACATGGAGATCATATCCCCCCTTATGTATTATACATGGTGATCATATCCCCCCTTATGTAATATACATGGAGATCATATCCCCCTTATGTATTATACATGGAGATCATATCCCCCCTTATGTATTATACATGGAGATCATATCCCCCCTTACGTATTATACATGGAGATCATATCCCCCTTATGTATTATACATAGAGATCATATCCCCCCTTATGTAATATACATGGAGATCATATCCCCCCCTTATGTAATATACATGGTGATTATGCATATCCCCCTTATGTATTATACATGGAGATCATATCCCCCTTATGTATTATACATGGAGATCATATCCCCCCTTATGTAATATACATGGAGATCATATCCCCCCTTAATCTCCTCTTCTGAAGAGAGAATAAATTCAGTTCCTCTAATCTTTCCTCATAGCTGATCTCCTCCATGCCTCTTATCAGTTTGGTTGCCCTTCTCTGCACTTTCTCCAGTTCTCTGATATCCTTTTTGTCAACTGGTGCCCAAAACTGAACTGCATATTCCAGATGAGGTGTCACCAAGATTTGTACTGGGGCAAAATTACATCTCTCTCTCTCTGGAGTCTATACCTCTTTCAATGCAAGAAAGGATTTTGCTCGCTTTGGAAACCGCAGCTTGGCATTGCATGCCATTATTAAGCTTATGATGTATCAGAACCCCCAGATTCTTCTCCAATGACACCCCCAGTTGTACTCCCCCTATTATGTAAGAAGCATGCTTGTTTTTAGCCCCGAAGTGCATAGCTTTACATTTATAAACAATAAACCACATTTGCCACACACTTGCCCAATTTAAAAGTATTTGTGTTTTTCCCTCCACTTACTGAGCACGCCTCCTCAGGGATTGGCTGAAGATCCAAAAATATTCAGGCTGCTAGCCCTGTCATCCCTTTCAACATGTTCTAGAACACTCCAGAAGACAGAGTGAAGTAACAGGCCAGCAACTTGTGAAGCTCTGCACAGTTCCTAACACAATCAACCCCTGCTCCTCTGCCTACAGAAGAACCAACTAAATTTACCAAATAATTTGCAAATTAGGAGGGTGCTACGCATATTTGCTGTTTAAAAAATTCCTAGCTACGTGATCTGACATAAACATCCCGTTGTTTCTCTCTGACTGGCATGCATTCTCTGCTTTTGTTTTTGGCTCTGGTGCAAGGAGACCAGCAGATTCAGATAACACAGCAGGAAGATCCCACAACATTACTGCGCACTTCCAGGTCCACGTGAAACCTCACTGACAGATCCAGAGCTGCGCAGTGGTTTTAGCATAAGCGGGTGATTGCTGGGAATAGAATTCCCAAAGCTCAAACATCATGAAGGGCAGGGGTTTGGCATCTTGGGCGCTAAATGACCTTTTCTCTGCACTGCTTTTTGTAACCCTTCCCATTTTCATTATATTCAAGGTCTTGGCTTACAATACAACACTTCCATGCATACTGTATCGTTTTGTTTTTTTTAGTATTTTGATCTCACTTCCCTTCTTTCTATCTGTTGTCTCTGCTTTTATGTCCTTTCACTTCCTAAAATCTAACACGGATAAAACAGAACGTTTTTTTCTGAAATCTTTCTCCACTCCCTTATCTGAAATAACAATTACTATTGAAAACACCCCAATACCCTTAGCTGTCCAAGCTTGTTGCCTAGGA